TCATCAGAGGGTGCGCTTACCAAGGCGCTTATTATGGTTTCGAACTTTTTTCTCAGTGTAGTTTGCACTATTCTTGTTGAGGAAATTTGAGGAAATAAATTTATGAATAGGTATTTTCCAGCAAAAAAGGTGCACTTGTAAGAATTCGCTAAAGTATCAAGCTATTTTCGAAATATTCGGGTATTTAGTGTTCGATGCCGCACCGGAATATTCAAATTATTAAAAAATATTTGCTGTTACCTTCGTACATACAATTTGGTCAGTTGATTAGCAGTACAAAAAGGGATTTTTCAAAATAATTTGTTGGGTTTTGGAGTATACCTGTCGAATTTCATTTTTTAACTTATTCACCCTGTATCTTGGCAATTTCGGACTGAAAGATAGTTGCCTTGAATCTTTTTTGTACAGACCTTTTAGGGATACCCATAAGTACGGTAGGATAATCATTTTTACTATACCCGTTGTCCTATTACCCGTTTTCTCGTGGGAATGAAGCTTATAATATATGTTCATCAGGGATAATGTCGGCGTCTAATGGGACCATTTTTTGCCAACAGAAATCGTAAATGCATAATGCCCCTCATTATTAAACACCGAGTTAAACACCCAAGAATGATAATGATTATACCCAAATCCTAACAAAGTTGTATTCATTCAGGTTTCTGTAGCTTTTAGTCCAGTTTATAAATCTGTTAAGTACATAAATCTTCAGGAGCCATATTAGCCAATGGAGTAAGGTGCGTGCCTGATGAGATAAAGGTCCCGGGTTCAATCTCTAATTTTTTTTTGTCGAAGGAATGTCCCTGGAATATCCTTGGGACGTTCTAGGGATATCCTGAAAAAACCTTTCTTCGTACTTGGTACATCGCCCAGGGACGTACCAGAAGGAAATCCCTTGGATGCATGTTTTGGCGGCCAGCGGATGTCCCTGGGACATCCCAAGTATGTACGTTGTCCCGACAGAGGACATCTCTGGGATGTCCTAGTATAAAATCAGGGCGTCCCTCGGAAGTCCCTAATAGGATGTATTGGTGTTGTTAGGGTTTCTTAGGATTTTCCTCGGGATTTTCCGAAAGATTTTTTCTCCTCGTCTCAATACAATGAAAATATGAAAATTATTTCAATATATGTGTAGTAAGGACAAATCAGATGATTTTCCCCAAAATGTCACTGCGTTTATAGTAATTTTCCTAACAAGTGCGGAAAGTGATTCTTTCCCGCACGTGACTGCCGTTGACACGAACGACGCGAAGCGGAGTTCGGGCAAGCAGTCGAGTGCGGGAAAGAAACTTTCCGCATGAGTTAGGAACAATATTTTTTCTACAAGCGTAGGAAATTTATTGAATCGTTCAATTAATTATTCAAGCAAATAGGAACAACTAACAAGAGATATATATTCTCTATCTATTAATTATTAGTAATAGCTATTGTGAATTTACAGTTTGACGCATTATGTTGGTTCATTGCGGAAGCCAGCAGGCCCATTTTAGGAGTTTGGTCTCTAGGTTCCAGACACTTCTATGAAATGAGCCAAAAATACATATTCTTCATTCGGTTTTTCATTTCTTTATTGTTGCACCATTCAATGAAACGCGTGTATAGCTCCTCATACCTTTCTTAAGAGTTCGTTGGTGATAACGCATCTGTATCAAATCCCTATTATAGCTAGAAGTTTTTGATCACATTGTGGCATTTCCACTGAATCGAAAATGACAGTAACGCTGTGTCTGTCACTTCGACAATTTCAAACTTATTTGAGGTTTGATTGGCATGACAAATTGACGTTTCCCGTCAGATCAATCCAAATCTATAGGGGGATTTTTATAATAATCAATTATTATTTCTCAATATTTCTTAATTTTTACAATAAATAGTGGAATTTGATGGATGATTCTGAACAAAACATACTTAATACTGCAACAAACAAACTTAAACTTTTATATTCCATCACCAACCACTTATATTACTAGCGATTTTATCATATCTTTGTTTTCCCGCACTAGTGCGGGAAAAAATTTCCCGCACTAGTGTGGGAAAATTTTCCCGCACTGTTGCGGGAAAATGACACTTCCCAAACTAAATTGCGTGCGGGTATAGGGTGAATCACGCACGCTTGTAGAAAAAAGAATTTTCCTATCAGAGAGTCCAAAAGAAAAACTCACCAGCTTGTCAGTGACAATTTGTATTGAAAAAGGTTTGGAGAAGAGAAATGAAAAATGGTTTTTCTTATGGCTAATTCGGGAACAAAATCGTATTAGTCTTGATACTTCTTAGTTCTCAGTGACAATTGGTGACGTTGGCAATCAAATCAGTTACAGGATGTTTTTATTAATTAATCTTGAATTTACCATTTACATTTTCAGATTTCAGTAGTGAAAACCATGTTCTATATATATATCAACTGAACAGGAATAAGCAATGCTATTGTCTTCGTTCAGAAGAATGCAAGCAGATTCCTTGATTTTTCTCTTCTAGTTGTTATCTTCTTTCCTAATGATTTCAATATTATTTCACTCTGCCATATGTTGTCCATCTTCAGTAAGGATATGTTCAGCTAGTTTCGATTTGTCGATGTATCTTTTCTTTATATTGTACTTCGTTCTTACTGAAAGAGGTCTCTTGGTTTCACCCCTATAAAACTTTCCACAAACAACAAAATATACTGCAAATACAATATTTTTACATTTTTACGATTGTTCTTCATTTTCCGGCTTTGTTTGAGTTAGAATTGATCTCATTGTATTTTCAGTCTTGAACACAGTTTCCACTTGAAATGGTGATAAATTCATTACGTTTTATTTTCTCAAGAAGAATACAAATTTGACATACAAAAAATTCATTTTTTATGTTGAAAACGGGAGCAGGTTCGTTCCAGAAACGTCCAAATATAAGTGAAACTTCGATTTTTTTTTCATATATCTTTATTTCTCTTCACCAAACGTTTTTCAAGACTAATCTTCTCTGACGAGCTATTGAATTTGTCTTTTAGGCTCTCTGATAGGAAAATTCTTTGAACGCAGTGGCGTTTTGGGTCAAATCATCTGATTTGTTTTCACTATACGTATATCGAAATGGTATTCATATATTTATTTTGAAGCGACGAGGAGAGAAAATCCTAAAAAAAATCTGGAATAATGAATGTATACCACCTCCTCGATTAACCTACAGACAGTGTTTGCTGTTATCTCCGTGGATGTAATTTGGTCAGTGAATTAGCTGTACAAAAATGGATGGATTAGTTACTTCAAATCGATTTTATACAGACCTTTCAGGGACACCCATAGGTACGGAAAGATAATTATTTTTACTACCCTATATTAGGTTCCCGTTTTCGCGTAGGAATAAAGCCTATGTTCATCAGGGATAATGCCGGCTTTCATTGGTGAGAGAATTTTTCAAATCAGTTTTGAGTCGAAAATACATTCATACAAGCAAATGAACAAACATATCTTTCCTCTTTATAATAATAGTACCTATATACAGGGTGTTGCGAAATTCGACCGACAACGCTTGACAGGTGATAGCCCTCGTGATTTCATAATCACTGAGATAGGGACATACGGTCCTCAAGTGTTCAGTTCTCGAGATACAGGGCGTTAGAGTTGAGAAATATAAATAGCTGTTTCGCAATATCTCAAGAAAACTTTATTATAATATATTCAACGTCGGTATATAATTTCATCTTTGAATGGGTCATGTTTTGACCAGGAAGCCATTTCGAACATTTTCTCCAGTGGTGCCCTACAGGAGGGTGTGGCGAGGGGTAAATCTCCAGGAAAAATGTGTACACCAGACTCCCAATTAACATAGACTTCCAAAGACTTCCAAAGACATCCAAAGACATCCAAAGACTTCCAAATACTTCCAAAGACTCCCAAAGACATCCGAAGACTTCCAGAGGCATCCAAAGACTACCAAAGACTTTCAAAGACATCCAAAGACTCCCAAAGACTTTCAAAGAATTCCAAAGACTTCCAACGGAGTGTACACCAGACTTCCAAGGAGATTTACCCCTCGGGGTGTGGCAACTTTTCCTCCCATATTTCCTACGCCACTGATTAAATTTCAATTATTTCCTATTCCTAAAATTCATTGTTCAATTTTGTTAAAAAAAATACATCACCTTCAACTGAGCTGAAATGAACAGTTTTCGAGATATTCGACCCAAAATAGAAGATTGCATAGTAATATTTCATTATTTTAAGTAGTTGGAGATTGCAAAAATATTTTTCTGGTGTTGAGTAGATAAGATACTATTCAGATCTCATTCTGTAGCTGAACAGACATAATTATTCCTCGCATAAAGAAAAAACCAAATTTTTTGTCATTTTCTACTACTGAAGAAGATGAACAATTACTATGCAAACTTCTATTTCGGGTCAAATATCTCGATAACTGTTCATTTTAGCTCAGTTGAAGATGATGCAGTTTTTCAACATAATTGAACAATCAATTCGAGAAATTGGAAATAATCGAAATTTCATCAGTGGCGGAGAAAATATGGGAGGAAAAGTTATCACAACCCTCTGTAGCGCACCTCTGGGTGAAATTGTCTACATGTCTTTCTGGTAAAAAAATTAACCAATGAAAGATGAAATCATATACCGAATTTGAATGCATTATTCTCAATGTTTCTTGAGATATTGCGAAAAACCTATTCAAATTTCTTAACTTCAACGCCCTGTATCTCGAAAACTGAACACTTGAGGACCGTATGTCCCTATCTCAGTGATGATGAAATCACGAGGGCTATCACATGTCAAGCGTTGTCGGTCGAATTTCGCAACACCCTGTAGAACGGCTAGGCTCTGGAATTCATTGCCTGTGGAAGTATTCCCAACAACATATAATCTCCAAAAGTTCAAAAAAAATTCCATTACCTACCTCCTGTTCCTATCCTCCCTAGGAACGCACGATGTTCTTTGAACATTATAGGGATTCCCTTTCGTGCGCTCCAAGCGATAAAAAAAAAGTATAGATAGTTTAGAAGAAAAACTTACAAAATCTCAATCAGTTCACAATTTAGAAGCAACTTGTTGGGCCCCAATTCCACCACTGCGACAGTCTGATAGTTGAAATAAACCATCCGGATGGAGTCGTTGGTCACCCTTTTTCCGCTGTAACTCTTCAAACTCTGCTTCGGTTCCTTCCCAAAGTTAGCAAACGGCCCGAACGCGGGAAAATTCAAGGAAAATGACGGCTTGCCATTGATTCCCAGCGCGAACAAAATGAAAAACACTACATGCATAACCACATTTTCATGTCTTGTCAACAGCATTGTTGGAACTTCACTTTCGCTCCACCATGGAAACGGGAGTTCTAGTATGTCTGTTTATCTTCGTCCACGTGCCTAGAACGTCAGTTTGTGTCGATTGACTTCGATGCCAGTGCGTAAACTTTCATTTTTGATCCGGACGAACCGAGGAGTTGAACGAGACTGAAGCGAAACATGACTGGTATACCGGACTTACTAGGTCAGTAGAAGAAAAGAATTATTATGAGGTAGATAATGATCGATTAGTGTATGCAGGTGAAGAAATCGGAAATCAGTGTTAAAACGTTTTGGTCAGTCGATGCAGGATCCAGTGTTGTATATGCGTTCGAATTGGGAACACTTCGAACGCTCAACTCGTATTTTTTCTAGTTTTAAAAAACGATTCTTCAAATCGAAACAATAAAAATAATTATTTTAGTCGAGAGGAATATCGAATTTTTTGAAATGCATTGTCTATACTCAAGTATACTGGCGAGTAGTACACGATTCCGAAATTGAAATACACCCATCAGTCTCAATAATAAACCAAGAATATTGATGATCAAAATAATGATTAGACCGAGGTGGTATCTCTATCGAAACTTGCAATTAATTTTCTATAAAGCTTGTTATACAGAATAACGTTCGTATACTCCACACAGAGAAAAAACTTTAATAATGGTTATTAAACATTTAATAGTCACAGTTAAAAACTTGAATACTATATGGGACAGATATACAGTATGATAGTGGTAGATAAAATATTTTACCTGAATTGGTATACCTGCAACAGACACTCAGTTATATAGTTCATTGATCGTTAATGAATGAATATATTCAAAATCAACTCAGGATTATTAAAGTGTTGAATAACATTGGTTAGACAGTTTAATAACCATTGAACATTAAGTAATTCCCTTTGAAACATTGCTATATTATCTTACAGACTTCTTCACCTGTTGTAGGTTCACACTTCGATGATAGTTATTCAATAGTTTAATAAATTTTCAGTACTATATAGTTGCCACAGGTGAAAAAGCATGCTGTTACAGAAAAATAGGTGATATTCTCTGAGATATATCTAACTGATGTTAGGTACATCCTTTAATTACTACCACTGAATAATACAATTATTCCAGAAACATTATTAAGTTGTCCTCGGATCATAAATTATACTCGTCTCTGGAACATAATTTAATTATCTCAGATGTGCAATTCAATTGAAATATTGGGGATGTTCAATGTGCATACCTCTGAAAAAGGAGTTCAGAATCGATCATTTTGATTCCTGATTTTCAATGGCCTGGATATAGAAAAAATCAAAGATATTGTCTACGAGTATCAAGTGCACCCGTGAAAAACATTGAAAATCATGAATCGGAATGATCATTTCTGGTCCACTTTTTTAGATGATGCAGACCCATAGACATTTATTCCTGAAAAACAAAAAATGATAAATGAGAAAAATCAAATCATTAGGTATTATTTTTGGTTAACTTTTCATCATTAATCAACATTACAGAATCAATTTCTGAAAGCAGTTGTATATCGTTCAATTTGGATATGTGCTCATTGTTGAATATTAGAGCAAGAAATATTTCATATTTTCAAGGTATCACACAATGGGGATGGTGATTTTATAGAAGAGAAAAAACGTTGTACAAAATATAGGTACATTATATAATATATTCTAGTCATTTGTAATTTCAGTACAAACTACATGAATAAATGAAATTGAAATAATTATTTTCAATACACAATAGTTGTCGAACTGACTCATATACAAATATATTTCAGACGTTGATGGAGTATCTGCGGGCCGCGGGGGAACTATAGGTCCTCTTGAATTTAGATCAAGTGGCATCAAGTTCTAATCAGGTACATCATTACCATCAGCACCCTGAAATTTGAAAATTCCTTTATATAATATGTGTCAAATTTCTCCTATTATTTTCTTGAAAATTCAAACAAAGAATCCTATTTCAAGAGATTCATTGGAAGAATGAACTCTTAACAGGTAGCGAACGTTCCGTAAGCCCATCCAAGTAAGGACATTCTTTATAAAAATTTACTTTGACTCAATTCCAGGGACACCGAATAAGAAAAATCAAGATCCGTTTCCTCAAATTTTTTCCCGTGTACCTACTATCAGAAATAAGATTTTTTTGCAAACATTCACAGTAGAGAGTCTTTTCATTTTGATATTTCCCAATTTATTTCTCGGCTCTTGTGAAATTTAACCATAAAAACTCCTCTGTTTCGGTAATAACTTGAGATCAACAATTCATTTATTTTCCTGAGATTATATATTTCTTTAATCTTCAACAAAATTTAAACTACTTAACAAGTTCCTACTGAAATTTCGATACCATAGAGCACACTCGATAAAAATATTGAGAGAAGTCACAACCAAAATAGGAGATATTTTCAAAATATCACCTCTTCAAATGAAAAATAAATGGCATGAATCACGAATAAAACGGACATATAATATCAGATGTAAGGAACTAGAGGTCTTAGAATCATTTTCGGAAGGAGAAGAACCTATCACTAAAAAACGTTTGTGCCCAAAAAGATTTCTTCATGCACGGAGAGAAAGGAATGGTATATTACTCACCAAGAAATAAAGAAGAGTTTTGCGTAAACTTCGCCAAACCCTGCTGTTTCAAAGTGTCGTCGATGAACTGCTTTGCTTCAATTTTTCAACTCTCGACCTGGGGCTAGTCGCTCCATAGTGATAATGTCGCTGGGAGAAATGTTTTTGGAATAGTCACAATCACTTAACTTACATGCACAACACAAATGTTCCAGAATAGAAAAAGGCACGCATGAGTGTTCGCAAACACCAAAGGTACATATTCTTAGTACAGATACAGACTGAGTTCACTAATGGAATGAAGTGCAGAAAAGTTGCGCAGTCAGCTCGTGGCGTAATCGTGGGTATTCGAAACTAGCCGAATGATGACGAAACAGAGAAATCAAGTGAACTGTTACCTGTTGTTATTAAACTGGTAATAATGGCAGAATTATTCCTTTCACTCATAGAAAACAAGGATTGAGGGACAATTATATTAATGTTAGGTGGATTGTTGTATACTGAGTATTAAACACATCGATAAAAATTAATCAAGCACAAGAAAGATGGCCTGTTCCAGGAGCATAGTTAACCTGCCACTGGAAGTCGATATCAGAAAAAAATGTTCACCTATTGTAATGGTACAAAAGTTCATTAATATATTTGTGGGTATTAAATTTTACTCAAGTGTACTTGTGTACCTGGACCGTTTTTCTCTGTGCAGGTGGTAATTCTACAGATGAAAATAAGGAAAAATGTTCCTATCAACATGTGTCCGAAAATGCTTCCTAAGGGTGCTAGAGGGTAAATGTGCACTTATCATGCGATGGTATTTTTTTCAAAAAATGTTTTCGGTACTTACGTATTTTTGTTTGAAAAACACGAACTTCACAAAGAAAATGTGAACAAACCGCTATTTATCGAGATATTTTATGAAATTTCACCTTATTTTGCAACCCTTCCAGGATATTCATTTACTACTACTTGTCCTTCTTTTTACACTTTATACAGACTGATTCACGGCGAATGACACATTTGACGTTTCTGGAGAACGCAACGTAGGATTATACTGAAAATCTGGTGTCTGGGCATTGTCGATCTAAATAAAAACCTAGTAGGCGACCTAACTAGGTTGTCATCTATGTAGAACGACAATGGTCTTGGATAATTAGTTGTGTTCTATCCACCTAAAATATTCTCAACACTGCAACGTTACCGCTTATATTGAAAAGTCTTTGTTTTTTTGAACGGGACACCCTATGTATAATTCCATTTTCAGATTATTCTTGAAGAGCTGATTTCATCGATTGATTACACTTGGGGTCTAGCGGAAACGATAACAAAGATATAGGGTGTGAAAAATCTAGATTTTTCAACTTCAAGAATTTCTTGTGTCGAAACGATTGTTATGTCCCTATCTCAACTTTTCATGTACTATCAATTGATATTTAATTGAAATAGATACAGGGTTGTTGAAAATCTTAATTCTAAACAACCCTGTTCCTATTTCAATTAAATATCAATTGATTGTGAATGAAAAGTTGAGATAGGAACATAGAATCCGTTTTGACCAATTATGAATAGTTTCGACACAAAAAAAAGTTAAAGTTGAAAAATCTCGATTTAACACACCCTATATCTCTGTAATTGTCACTGCTAGACCCCAAAAGTGTTATAGGTCAATGAAATCAGCTCAGGGAGAATTTGAAAATGGAATAATATATAGGGTGTCCCATTTAACAAATCAAAGTTGTTTCTACTTTTCAATATGAGCGGCAACGTCGCAGCGCAGAGAATACCCAGCGAGCACAAACATCCCTGGGACGTTTTGGGATATTTTGAAAACGTTGGCATGAAGATGTTATTTTGAGACGGAATATGCACTGACCAAAGAGATCTTTGAAGGATATTGAAGTATTGTTTTTGTTCTTCTATGGCATTTCTTTGTTTGTCTACTGAGAGGTATCCCTGGGATGTTTTGGGATGTTTTAGAAATGTAGGCATGAGGATGTTTTTTTGAGGCGTAATATGCACTTCCCAACGAGGTCTCAGAAGGATATTGAAAGTATTGTTTTTGTTCTTTTGTGCCCTTTCTTTGTTTGCCCCACCACAACGTCTCATTTTTACGTCACAATACGATGAATTCTGATTTGTTTTCGATTTTGTTCTTCTTGTTCGCAATTGGCATTCGCGTTTGCAGCGTGTCACGCTTATATCACGCTGCTAACGAACAGAAAGGAATTTGGTGAAGTTTATTGTGTTAGAAGACTTATTTAGTTTGTAATAATGACCATCAGATGCAAGATGTGTTGTTCGGTCCCTCAGTGTAATCAATATATAAAAGTACGAATTTATCCATACACCAGAAACCGATTAAGAAGGTAATTTCATATCAAGAAAATATTTTTATGTTCAATCTATTTTTAATGCATTTTTTCATTCAAGGGAAATGGAATCCTAATGCAAAAGTTCATTTTGACAAAAGGCTTCAGAAAAGTACCTCGAAAATGGTTTTTTTACAGCGACAGACGCGTTGAAAATGTTCTGTTATGTCCATGAGAAGGCTTCAAAAAGAACTAGGGATCGAGAAGGTAGTTTTGTGACATATCAAGAACATCTCGATAATTGCCGCCTGCGGCGGAC